TGTGTGTGTGTGTGTGTGTGTGTGTGTCCAGGTGCATCCAGGGACCCAGGTCTCTGTCATCAGTTTGTACAACAACCTGAAGAGTCTGAAGCCGTTGTGGTCTCAGGTCCGAGACTTCCAGAGAGTCCTGGAGGACATCATGATGAAGTTCCCTGATGGGGTCCATCTTCTGTGTTTCTCACAAGGTTTCTACAAACTGACCGGACTATCAGGGACTATTAGGGTCTCTCAGGGTCTCTCACGGTCTGTCAGAGTCTCTCAGAGTCTCTTAGAGTCTTTCAGAGTCTCTTAGAGTCTCTCAGAGCCTCTTAGGGTCGGTCTCTCAGAGTCTCTTGTGGTCTGTCAGAGTCTCTCAGAGTCTTTTAGGGTCTCTCAGAGCCTCTTAGGGTCGGTCTCTCAGAGTCTCTTGTGGTCTGTCAGAGTCTTTTAGAGTCTCTCAGAGTCTCTTAGACTCTCTTACAGTCTTTTACAGTCTCTCAGAGTCTCTTACAGTCTCTCAGAGTCTCTCACAGTCTCTTACAGTCTCTCAGAGTCTCTTACAGTCTCTCAGAGTCTCTTACAGTCTCTCAGAGTCTCTTATACTCTCTTAGAGTCTCTTACAGTCTCTCAGAGTCTCTTACAGTCTCTCAGAGTCTCTTACAGTATCTCAGAGTCTCTTACCGTCTCTCAGAGTCTCTCAGAGTTTAGTTTTGTGTTTCACCTCGTCTATATTTCCTGTGTAGTTTGTCAGACAGAATAAAATGTATTATGATGAATTTAATCTGGACTTCCTGTCTGACTGTTGGGATTATTGGGATTACAGGTGGTGTAATCTGTCGAGCTCTCCTCTCCATGACTCCCAAACACAACGTGGACACGTTCATCTCCCTGTCGGCCCCTCTGGCGGGACAGTACGGAGGTGAGGCAGCTTCCTGTAGCGTTGACTGAAAGGATTAAAGAGTGATGTTGAAGTGAAACATGTGGATTCTCCCACAGACACAGATTACCTGAAACACCTGTTTCCTGACTGTCTGAAGAAGGACGTGTTTTTAATCTGCTACAACAAACTCGGACAGATGTGGTCCATCTGCAACTACTGGAACGGTAAAACGGAGATGTTTGAACGTTACGTTTTCTGTGAATCATAAACACGTTTTCTCTGCAGACCCTCATCGTAGATCCTTCTACCTGAGGAGCAACATCTTCCTGCCTCTGCTGAACGGAGAGACACCTCACCAACACCTGAAGCGTGGGAAAATCAGCTCGTTTTATATGATATATAGTTTTATCTTTATATCAGAATAAATATGGTTTTAAAATACATTGTTTTTCTCAGAATGGAGGGACAGCTTCCTGCGCATCAAGAAGATGGTGCTGATTGGAGGACCGGATGATGGCGTCATCACACCGTGGCAGTCCAGGTATAAACTTCCTGCAGAGACGTTGAAGAGGTCTACCTGTGATTTAAATAGGTTTTTTTCTTAACTTAAATTGAAATTACTCAAAATTTAAGGGGTTGCTCTCACCTACCACCATGTAAAGATTTATCTGAATGTGTCTAAAGATGATTGACTTACAGGCATTTAATTACGTTAGTGTAACCCAGCCCAAAATMAGAGTATTTTGTTTTGTGTTAAGTTCATGTAAAAAGTAATAGTGTTAAAACTGTTGTTTAAAAATGTATTTCATTAATGTTGTAAAGCAATAATGAGACTGTTTGGGGTGCTTGTGTTTATGTTTTAACACAGGAGAAGTATGTTTTATCTTGTTGTAATTTATTCTGGTTTTATTTTGAAAAGCTTATGTTTGAAAGAGGAAGTGGTGCTAAGCAGAACAGCTTTTTACTAGTCCGTGATTGGCAGGAAAACAGGAAGAGAGAGTAACGGAGAGCACGAGACTAAGCTTGACCACATTAAAAC